TAAAAACATAATTTTTAATGAAGAAGGAAAGGTATTTTACAATACATTTTTACAAGTGAAACATAAAAGTATGTTACAAAATACCAATTCTTTTTTCATATTATGAGAGGACGTTAATCAATCGATGTTTAATCTCTTGCTTTTTCTCATATTTCTGCGAATGTAAAATATTCTACGTAAAAATGTATTAGGCGCTCTGAAAAGAGCGGGTTATTTTCTATCGCCCTAAAAAGAGCGGGTTATTTTCTATCGCTCTAAAAAGAGCGGGTTATTTTCTATCGCTCTAAAAAGAGCGGGTTATTTTGTATCGCTCTGAAAAGAGCGGGTTATTTTCTATCGCTCGGAAAAGAGCGGGTTATTTTGTATCGCTCTGAAAAGAGCGGATTTTACAGCAGGTGCTCAAAGTGAGCACCATTCATCTTAATGCAAGCTCTCATTCGTCTTAACAAGTTTGCATGAACGTTGTCCATAACATTTTCTTCGATGACCAAATAGCGTGTCGCAATTTCGCATCTAAATCCTCGATATCCTCAGAAAGCGTTTTGTAAATTTCTTCCTTACAATATCCCCATAAAAGAAGTCTAAAGGATTCAGATCCGGGGATCTTGCGGGCCAGCGTATTGAGCCATACCGTCCCATCCAGCGTCTCGGAAACTGCTCATTCAAGTAATTTGTTACAATTCTGGCGTTGTGTGGTCCAGCACCGTCTTGTTGAAAAACTATTTTGTTTCTGTCTAATAACGGCACTTCTTCTAAAAACTCTGGAAGATTTTCTCTTAAAAGTTCCAGGTATCTTTCGCCATTTAAGATGTCCGGAAGAACCACCGGTCCTAGGATTTCAGTTCCCATGATTCCAGCCCACAGATTTCTCTTCCAACGAATTTGGAAGCTCCTTGGTCGCGTGGCTGCGAGATTTTCGTCGCTCCACAAATGCATATTGTGCGAATTGAAAATACTTTCTCGTGTAAATAGCGATTCATCGCTAAATATCACACGAGAAGGGAATGTAGGATCTCGATCTGTTTCTCTCAGAAAATTTTCGCAGAATGTTTTTCTTTCTCGATAATCTTCCGGTTGCAAATGCTGTACACGTGTGTAATGAAATGCGTGCAACTTTTTCTCTTGCAATATCCTTTGTACAGTCATTTGTGACAAATTAAGTTCTCGAGCAACAATCCGTGTACTCAATTCAGGATTCCGTTCGAAAGCACGTAAAATTGCCTCCGTATTCCGCAAATTTCTTGCTTCACGATCTCTTCTAACATCGTGTTTGCTTACCAGAACACTGCCAGTTTCGTAGACTCTCTGAGCTGCTCGAAGTATGACGGGAGCTGACGGGTGTCTTGCTCGATTTGGATACAATTCGGCGTATCGTCTTGCAGCCGCGTGATACTGCCCATGGCACTCGCCAAGTGCCATCAGCATGTCGTAATATTCTTCGTTAGTGTATGCCATATCGTCTTAACGATGTCCTTTTACTAACTCGAGGATTCTTCTTCTACTTCTTCGATCGATGGATCTCCGAAATCGAAGGATTACTGAGCGCAGTATCTGTCACTTCGTTCTTTTTATACAATCTTCGCGCGGGGTTGTTCCCCCGCCGCGTCCCTCGCGACGAATCCTGTGCGGATCAAGTGTGATTTGCAAGTGTGAAAGTATTGATACACGATACAACTTATAAAAGGAGGAAAGCCTTTGATTATTGATTACTGTAATCTGTTTCTTTCTTGGATTAATTCTCAATCGCTAATTAATTAATCGGTAGTGATTAACCCATTAAGTCCTGAATGTCGTCAAATCTCTACGCAATTTCATCCAGTTTTTTTGTACGCTACCTGTGCCAAAAAAAAATTTGGATACATGGTATCCGACGTAAAATTTCGTGCTCTTTCATAATATGACCTCAGAATTTGTCTAAAACCAATGCTTAAAAAGTTAGAAGTAATTAATTGCAAAAAAATGCCATTTTTTAGATTAAGAAAATTTTTAGATCTAAAATTTCTATATGATATCGGTAACATACACATCCCGTACCATATAGAAAAGCGTTTTCGAGCCCTAAACTTGAAGATATGTATGGTCCGGAATAAAAAATTCGATATAGCGGTTCTCAAAATGGCGTCCGAAATGAAACTTTTTTTGAAAATCTTCAAGGCGCTCTGACTGAAAAGCGATGAACTTATTCAAAAAAATGAGAAGAATGAAAAGTTCTTAGAATTCATCAAGGAATACACTGGAATTTTTTCAGATTTTTTGGTGACATTTTTGAAAAATTTTGTATTACAATTTTTTGAAAAATTAAAAAAATTTACGAAAAATTCTGGAAAAATTCTGGTATATTCTCTGATGAATTCTAAGTATCTTTTATTCTTTGTCATTTTTTCCATAAGTTGATAGTTTTCGAGAAAAAAAATGCTAAACTTTCTACATG